GCGTAGAAGTAAGTTCAGATCTTCTGATGAAAAGTGCTGTAAAAAGGCTGTAAAAAATATCTAACCTGTTGTAGATAAATCTTTGAACTACCTCAGTTTAGAGAAAGAGAGTTTAATTCTGACCTGATTGAGGACCTAACAGCTTATCAACAGTTTCATGATTATTTACATGAAATTATTTGTTTAACAGAAAGAACAAACAGCAGATAGCTGTAGCACTTCCGTTGCAGTTTGATGCACTTCCTGCAGAAATAGCATTATAGTACTGCTGGAATAACCATGTAATGTAAACTGAATGGTAGTGTAAAATTTTAAATTGAAAAACCACCTTTTGCCCTCTGCAAACAAGCTGTTAGCTTACTGGTCAAAACTTAACTTTATTTCTCTAAAGTAAACTGAGGTTGTTCAAAATATTTCTACAAAACCCCACTTAAAAATATTTTAACTACTGCTTTAAACTCTGGCACAAGCCTAAAAATTTCAGAATAAATTCAACGTTATATTGGACGTTGAAAAACAAGACAAAAACAAAAAACGAGGACTGCAGCAAGACGCCTACATAAAAAAAATCTTTGTGCATTTTGTTTGAACGCACAACTCTGTCATTTTTGAAACTTACTTTTTAAGTCTTCATTTGTCAAAAAAGACCTGCTGCTTTACTAAAAATCATATATTTTGAAATAAAGGAGAATAAAATGTGTGACAAGAGCCACATGATCTGTGAATTTTGTCATCACTCAATAAGATCTACACAGGGTCGGATGTGGTGAATGTTGCAGGTCTTGCCTTCGGAAGTGTCAGAGAGATAGAAAAAGAGCTCAGTCGCCCACACACTTGGACTCTGTCTCTGCAATTCAGCACTTGGCTGACAATGCAAGTGCTTCTTTCTGATGCAAGATGGGCCTTTATGCCAAGATAACTACTTTAAAAAAGGTCAGAATGAGCCAAGTTCTCCAGTAAATAAACCTACAACAACGTAATAAATATGATAAAGACACAATAGATTGCTTGAAAACATTTGAATTTTGCCTATTAACTATGCAAGTTCACTGGGTGATTACAAAGCTCCTATTTGGCAACTAACCAAACCAGTTGGCAACTAACCAAACCAGATTGGCAGTGCATTCACACTTCCATCGCTCACTGATGTAACTTTGCAGAGGAAAGTGTCTACTTGTGTGAGTGAATCAGTGTTGCAGCACAGACCCAGAATAGACCGGCGTGGGCTAATGGCAGCTAGAGTCAACATGGTAGCTACAGCAAAGCAGCACAGAAGCTGTATTATATTGTACTTTCATCAAACCCAACCACATCACACACACGCATTAAAAAAACACTATATGGCCTGAATACATATTCTTTGCACAGCTTTGAAGAGAAAAAAGAGCATGTTGCAGACACCATATCTGTGACACACAGCTATCATGATCATCAGATCTCAGATGCCTATTGAAGTAGTTAAATCAGTGATTCAACATGTTTCAAGAGTCAACAGCCAAACCTGTTCTCGTATCCCACTATTCTGCATGAACTTTTCAGGGCTTTAAAAGTCCTCAACAAGTAGGACTTCTGCCGTATTTTCAAACAGATTTAAAAGAAAGCCAATAATGAAACAAAACCTTTTCTAAAGTAAATGAAAACAGTAACTAGCAGAAAATAAAACAGAAGAAAATAAGCTCATTGGGCATCACTTCATGGGGTTACACTGACCAGCCCTGTGGTGGGAGGCTCAGCTAACTTACTCTGCAGATGGTAGCTTTCTTTGAGTGTAGTCTGCATAAGAAAACTGGAAACTAAACTAGATGACACGTGTCAAACCACAGAATCTGATTTAATTGCGCAGAGATGGCACCTTTTTTAAAAGAAAAAAAAATCTTATAAAATAAGAAAAAAAGTCGGAAGCTGTCATTAATAAATTAAGACATTTGTAATCTTTCATTAAAAATTAATGTTTGCTATCTCTATTATAAAGTCTCACAACGGTATGTCATGTTACCCCAAAAAGCCTACAAAGACTGCATCAAAAATAACTTATATAYGCACAAATAGCTTTTTGATCAGATGGTATAATGAAGAACTCCTAATCCTATCTGTGATGGTTTTATTGCACTTTAAAACAATAAGGGCAGGTATTATCAGCTTGACACAAACACTTTTACTTCACCTGGTTCACCGCCTGCTCTGCTGCATGTGTCTGACAAGGCAACAGCTGCAGCTTAGATGTTGCAGCAAATTTTCTTTTAATCCAAAGCTGTGACCACACTACACAACAGTGTGTTTCTGATTATGTCCTCAGCCAGTTGATAAGCGATGAAGAACACATCTTGACTGTAAATTTCAGACTACTTGGTGAGGCTAAACGGGTYACTGTCGTTTAACAATAGTAACGTTTAGTAAAAAAGCAAAAGAAAAACGTAAAAGTTGAATTTAGGGTGAAMAAAAATTAAGTACCAAATTTAGAAACAACCCTGTGAGTCACTTTTTAAAACATTGCTTCTTTCGCAGAAATTACCTGAACTTCTGAGTTAGGATCAATTGGCTGGAGGCTAAACCAGTTCTCCTTCCCGCTGTATTTACATAGATCATCCTTCCGGATTGACACCTTGCCTAGAAAAAAATTAAAAAGACACAACAATAATTAAGCCAACTCTTCCATTCAAATTAAACAGATTACTTGTTTCTGTCATTTGAATGTGACTTACCAACAGGTAGGTCCCTTTGGAAAACAGCCTTGGCATAAACATAGAAGGATAAACACTGAAATGGGCGGGGGATCTCAAAGTAGAAATCTTCTCCATAGAAAGGGCTAAAACAGACACAGGAGTATATTATTATGGTAACATGGAAAATAAGCATCTGCATAAAAAGAATGAACAAAACACAAATCATTATCACTCATTGCCAGAAAAGGTGAGTGATACTGTACTATTTGTTTGTCTGTTGGCAAAATGTCTCATGAACCTTTAAATGGAGTTTAATAAAACTACACACTGAGAACTGATTAACTTTTGGCATTAACCCCATCCAAGATGGCTGCCACAGCTAAATGATCCTAGCAATTTCAATAGTAGCTGTAATTCAGTCAGTTTTATCAGTATTGAGCTGGTGTGGTGGTTGCTGAGAGTCATTCAACACATCCCCAACAGATTTGACTATAAATATCTTTATTTAGGAAATGCAAAGTTTAATATTAATGTTTTTATTAATCTATAATATTGCTTTTATTTTTACATGACAAAAAATGTCAGATTTTAACTGTATAACAATAACTGAGATAGAAGGCTGCTCTTTTTTTTTCAAGAATTAAAAATGTAAAAAGAAAAAAAACGAAAAAAAAAACGTACATTTCAACCTAGTTGTTATTTACTGTTTTTCTGATGTCTCAAAATGAAGAGTCCAAGCAGAAGGTGGACATCACAGGGTGCCCTTATGACTCACAGGAGTTGTGGTTGGTTTGAAGGTAGAGATTTGAAAATGTGCCACCCATCTACTCGCCTAAAAATCTTTCCATTCATTAGGTTTACAGTTTGATCCACATCTATTTGGACAGAGAAAATATTTTCCTAATTTTGGTTCTGTACATTACCACAATGAATTTTGAATAAAACGTGTTCAGATTCAGCTTTAATTCAGTGGGTTGAACAATTGCACAGAAATGTGAGGAACTAAAGCATCTTTTAAACATAATCCCTACATTTCTGGGGTTCAACAGTAATTGGACAAATTAAATAATTGTAAATAAAATGTTCCATTTAGGCCCTGTGATGGACTTGCGACCTGTCCAGGGTGTACCCTGCCCCTCGCACTGTGACTGCTGGAAATGGGCACCAGTGACCCACGTGACCCTGAAAAGGAAGAAGCGTGTACAGAAAATGGATGGATGGATGGATGTTCCATTTATAATACTTGGTTGAAAACTCATTGTTAGCAATTACTGAAGTCTTGAACTCATGGATGTCACCAGATAATGCTCTGCCAGGTCTTTAATGCAGCAGTTTTTAGTTGTTGTTTGTGAGTATTTCTGCTCAGTTGGGCTGAGATCAGGTGACTGAATTGGCCATTCAAATACTGTATATTCCACTTCTTTGYTTTAATAAACTCCTGGGTTGCTTTGGCTTTATGTTTTGGGTCATTGTCCATCTGTAGTATGAAACAACAACCAGTCAGTTTGGTTGCATTTGGCTGGATCTGAGCACACAGTATGGCTCTGAATACCTCAGCATTCATTGGGCTGCTTCTGTCCTGTGTCACATCTTCAATAAACACTAGTGACCCAGTGCCACTGGCAGCCATGCATGCCCAAGCCATCACACTGCTCTGCTGTGTTTTACAGATGATGAGGTATGCTTTGGATCATGAGCTGTGCCTCGCCTTCACCTTACTTTTCTCTTTCAATCATTCTGGTAGAGGTTGATCTGAGGGTTCATCTGTTTAAAGAATGTTCTTCCAGAACTGTGCTGCTGTTTTTAGATGTTTCATAGTGGCTTGCACCGTGCAGTGAATTCACTGTATTTACTTTCATGCAGTATTATCTTCATGGTAGATTTGGATATTGATACGCCCACCTCCTGGAGAGTGTTGTTCACTTGGTTGGCTGTTGTGAAGGGGTTTCTCTTCACCTTGAAAATTATTCTGTGATCATCCACCACTCGTCTTTCATGGGCACCCAGGTCTTCTTACTGTAGAGTTCATCAGTGCTTTCTTTCTTTCTTTCTTTCTCAGGATGTTCCAAACTGTAGATTTTGCCACTCCTAATATTGTAGCAATTTCTTGGATGTTTTTTTTTCTTTTTTCACAGCTAAAGGTCCTGACACACTATAATGTTTTAGACACCTTATGAAAATAATATTTCCACTAAAATACTAATAAAAGTTAGATACTGTATTTAATCAATGTGTTAGCATTTAGAGTACATGCCTAAAAGAGGCTTCCAGTTTATTTTATTTTAATTCCATCTTCAACGTAGATGTCTCAACACTTTTAATAAGTCGGCATAAGTCTAAAACATCATAGTGTGACAAGGCCTTGTTACACCTGCATGGACAGTTCCTTTGACCGCATGTTTTCTTCACAGAAAATCTTCTAAATGCAAGCACCACACCATAAATCAACTAAAGACCTTTTATTTACCCAAGTAAGAATGACATAACGAAGGAAATCCCCATACCTGCCTATGAAATAGTCTTTGAGTCATTGTCCAATTACTTTTGGTCCCTTTAAAAGCAGGGTGGACAAATGTTAAGCTGAATTTCTAAATCCATCATCCAAGTTTAATGTGGATACCTTAAATGAAAATGCTAAAAGTCTGGAATTTATGTCCATGTCCATTATATAACTATAACTTGAATATATTTCAGAGAAAAGGTTAAAAAAAAAACGTGTCAGTGTCCAAATAGATATGGACCTGTATACTCATGATACAAATGCATAAACATTCTGACACCGAGTTTATTTTATGCTCCAATCAAATATATTAAAAGAAAAGTTTTTAAGGTCTTAATTAAAAATTGTCTGTTAACATGATTTGGTTCACATATTTTTAGATCTTTTATAAATAAAACATGAAAAAAAGTTCCCATCAATAAATATCTTTGAGGAAATTTCCAACCTTTGCAGTCATCTGTGGAGTAGAGATTTATAAAACAGGCAATACATTTGTGCTGGTATTCATGCCTCTAGGTAAATTAATACTTTTAATCAAACGATGTGGAAGGAAGCTTGAGAAACTGGAAAGTGTCAAATGACGAACCACTGCAAACTCCAAAAAATAAACAAAATGAGCTAAAATACCTCTAAACTTACCTGCAATACGTTCTCTCCTCAGGACAGGAATGATTGGTTGGAGCTGCAGTAAACCAAACCTTACATCTCCTACTAGCATACGCCTAGCAGAAATCATAATATTTTTGTAGGAGTAACTGTAATGTGAACTTGACAGCAGTGTAAAGCTGGATAAAATAGTCTTTGGGTGGTCTGTTATGCCATTTTTCTTTATTTGATTTGTTTTAAGACAGCAAAAATCAACTTAAATCTTGTCCCTGCTCAAACTAGCTGTTAGCTCTTTAAAAGGCCTCAGTTTTGAGAAATAAGAGTTTAATTCTTTTTTTTTGTAATGGAATTTTTTATTTCATAATGACACAAGGTCAACAGAGGCATGGTTAGAAAAGAACAGAAGTTTTGCTGCTGCTTCATGACTCTCTCAATCTCTTTAACTGACAACTCCACTTGAAGGATTTTCATCTTCAGTTCATGTTCTTCTTTTAGATTGCAATTTGTGCTCATGAAACTCTATAGCAAGTTTTTCATGAATAGTCAGCCTTTTCACTCTTGCTGTGTTGCCTGGGATGAAGATACTGGCTGCTGCCACCGGTGCAGAGGTCTAATTTTTCTGACTCTGTTCTGGCTCCTCTGACATCTGATTCAAGCTTTGGTCATCTTTTTCTGAACTGTCCAGATGATCATCTGTCATGCCTTCAAATGGTTGTTGGTTTTCAATCATCCAGTCAACATATCCCCCAGGTCATCAGCCTTTGGTCTTTTTCTTTTTTTTTAAAGATTAAAAAAAAAAAACAAGAGTTTAATTCTGATTGAATTAAAGAGTTTCCTACAACAGGTAAGGCAATAATTGTACCTTATGTTTCCATAGAACTGTTTTGGAACTAAAGGTAGCAGTACCGGTAATTTAAATTGCTATGGCTTTATACATTTAATTATAAACWTGCCCTGCTTTTGAGTCGGGAGTGGAAACTTGCCTAGTAAAACTTATGGTTTTAGTGGATGGGGACTTGACACCATAGTTCCTTAGTAAAACTGCCTTCCTCTACAATTTATACATTTTGGTTGAGAAAATATCTTGCCTGACACTTCCACACGGGGCTTAACCAACACATTGAGTGTACACCCACACATCCTCCTCAAATATCACAAAAAATACACACTTCTAACCCCTTCTGTTCTGTACATACTGCAACATACTCTAAACTCTGTTGTTATCTTGGTTCCTAAACAATGCAAATATAGCACATAGAAGCTGCCCACAGCAGTCTACTTCRTCCTTAAAATTTGCTACATTTGTGTCCTTCTTATTCAGCCTTATATGACAAACACAAGTCTAAAATTTCAAGCAACTAGTTGCCCCACAAATGGTTGATTATTAGGATGTGCTAAGCTGCAGCTTTGGTAGTTGAGTGTGACAGAGCGGACAGCGGAGAGCGTGGGAGGACACACTTCCTCTGAGACTGTAAAATCGTTTGAACAGTACCTAAAAAGGAGCAATAAAAAAGTGTGTGTGTGTGCGTGTGGGGGGCTGTGTGTGTGTGTGTGTGTGTGAAATACCTGCAGAAGGCAGGTTAATGTTTACAGCAAGATGCATTATAAGTTAGAAACCTGAGATATTTCTCAGTCACACCTTTTGCTGAATTTCTTGTGAACATGTAACTATTGGTTAGGCCCATAAACACTCCAGGAACAAATGATATTACGTACATAATCTAGAGTGAGACATCTATTCATCACTTTTAAGTTGACAAACACTACTCCTACAACTATATTATCAATGATTCAGTCTAGTGTTTCATACAGATATCATCTTGTGCTGAGAAATGACAACGCTGTAGTTATTTTACTCAAACCTCAAAGGAATCTATGATTAGTTGTAACATTGACTTTATTGGATAAACAAATATTTTAACTGTAAAATAAAGACTGTAAAAATACTGTAAACTGTTTAAGTTTTATAAATTTAAAAATATATATTTTAACACGGATGGAGCCATTTTATTTACACACAAAGCATTCTGGGTAAATGATGACATGGATGGTCCTAAGGTGTGAACGAGCTATATCCACCCTGAAGGTTAATCTTGGACGATATCTGACGAAGGCTAACAGGCTAAGCTGAGGTTCTTCTTCCATGAAGCAGCTCTGTTGTTCTCCATCCATATTTTCAGTTACAGGCTGAGTCATTTCTACCTTCTCCTCTCTGTCAACGCTCTCTGGTTTCATTTAAAAGAGTCAATCATCAGATATCGTCCAAGATTAACCTTCAGGGTGGATATAGCTCGCTCACACTGAGGACATATCCACTTCATCATTTCCCCAGAATGCTTTGCGTGTAAATAAAATTGCTCGGTCTGTGTAATATATTTTTAAATTTTTCGTTTAAAAATGACAAAAACTGAACATCCTACAGTATTTTTACAGTTAAAATATATGTTTATCAAATAAAGTCCAATGTTACAACTAATCATGGATCCCTTTAAACATTATTTTATGTGATATTGCAAAATTTCATGTGCAGAGTATGTATTGTGAATAACTCGCAGCACAAATTTTAGCTCAATAGCTGAAAGATTTACCGAGTTACAATTATATAGTGTTGGCTATTTTTGATTAGCCGTGGAGGCCATCTTGAACTGGATTGCCTTGAAATGTTAAATCGTAGACGTACATCCAGTGATTCATTTCAATAAAACATATATTTTGATTCATTTAGGGCTGCACCGATTAGTTGAAATAATCGATGACGTCAATTATGTAAATTTGTCGACGCACATTTTTTATTATCCATTCGCTGTATTACATAACCACCACGTGAATGTTCATGCAATTCCATTTCGGTACCTAAATACATCATTGCGACCATATTGGCATAAGAGTGGTGAGTTTTCCATGCTTGTCCTGAACGCAGCATCGCGCAAGAGCGTAATGACGTCAGCAGCTGCTGCTTCAGTTCAGTCTGAAGCTTGAAAACAAGCCTTGCAGCTCCTGGAGTAAAATTTACCAAACAGACCGCCTCTGAATTATCTGGTGGWTTAATTATCTTGTGAACACGACGTTCGCTTGCTCAAAGTAAATAAAGTACCGTCACTTTCTTTATTTCATCCACCATTAAACAGAGACCGGTGTTAGGTCGAGCCACGTTCCCCCATCAGACGGTTCCCCCATCAGACGGTTCCCCCATCAGACGGTTCCCCCATCAGATGGTTCCCCCAGCGTCTCAAACAACAGAGGAGCTTCCCGACACACGTCTGACCTAAAGAGCACAAGCAGCCAACAAGTGTTGGACGTGYTCTGGATGTTCAAAACGTAGCTTAAATACCTTTTATTAATTTTAACTGCATCCTCTTTTGTTTATTTGATTTAAACTTATTTGCCTTCCATGGACCTCCATCACACATTTTTCTAGTGGGGAAATGACATCAATAGAAACACGTGGAGCTGGATTTTAATTTGTGYAATAAGACAAAACAGTCTTGTTGTTTTCAACAGTTTTCACCTTAAAGAAATAAGTTAGACAACTGATGTTACAATACAAAGAGTTGGATGTTGTTTGATATTTGTTAATTTTTATATATTGAGAAATATGTTAAATAAAAAATAATAAATAAATGTTTATTATAGTTTTTCCAGAGTGACTTGAATTTTGCATGATTTAGTTCATTTTTAGATTGTTAACATCTTGCACTATATTTCTTTTACTTGAATTTTATATGCTTTGGTTGAGATTTTATATTGATGTTAAATATTTTAAGCTTTTTTTTGTTAAAGAATTGACTCTAGAGTGCATATTTTGTGTCCATGAAAAAACTATTACAGAAAATATTACAATATTAAAGAACTGTTCTTGTTAATTTGATGAAAACATTTTAAATTTCCAGTGCACTCACATCAGAATAACTTATAGATTTGTTGTTAGAATAATCGATTAATCGAAAAAAAAAAAAAGTTAGATTAATCGATTAGAAAATAATCGTTTGGTACAGCACTAGATTCATTAGATATTTTGCTAACAGACAAACAAGGATGACTAACAGTTAATGCTGACGTGTTAAGCAGAGGTCTCACAGCACACTTTACTGTACTTGGTGTGGTGTGCATGACACTCAGCCACAATCTCTGCTAAATTGACCAAATTAGTCACTTTTGTGTTTCTAAACTTCAGTTGGCTGCGGCGGCCATTTGAATTTGGACTGGCTCCAAAAATAAATGTTATAGAAGGTTTGTCTAGAGATTTTTTTCATGAAAAGTTTCATAAAATCATTTCAGTGGCTCATGAAATATTTAGCAAACAGATACACAAACACATGAACTCATCTTTCAGCACCAGGTGATAATAAATTATCTCAGTCACAAATAATGAATAGATTTTAGATTTTTTAAACTGATTTAGGCTCAATAGATACAGTATACACTGCAGCATATAAAATGCCAGGACGAAGCAGAAATGTCTTGAACATTGCTGTGCTGGGCGGTATGACCAACATTTTCTATCACAGTATTTTTAACAATTATCTGTATCATGTAACTAAAGGATGTTTTTTTAATCATCACAGCTCAGGCTGATGGTAAAATGTACAAATGCTGCTTATTGATCAGGAAACTGCAGTCAGCTGAAGTTACTCTCTTGAAGCAACACTATTTCTTTTTTCTTTTACTGTACCTCTGTCTGGTTGTAGACATCAGTCGCACATTCTGAGCCTACGACACGTTAGCAATGAGAGGTAAGCTGGGACAGTCGTGAATACGGAGGGTTGAGCAAAGATCATTTTCAGGCTAATTTACTTCACACATGAAATCTATCTTTGCACGTCACTGAGGAGGTGTATTCTACATTCAGCGTTGGAAAAAATTGAATTTTTTATTTCTTTATTTTTGTCAGCCAATGTGAGCGACGAAATCCCCAGACGCCAGTTATTGAGAAGGCTGCTCCCACATGACTGTAGCTTGCCCTGTGTGCTGCTAGTTCCTGCATACACATTCAGCGGTGCTGCACGGAAAAGCGTCCCCCATGAAACAGTTCGGTATGCCGGTATTCAGAAAATTTATATCGTAGCGAAATTAAAAAACATTTTTTAGTTCAAACCGTATACCGCCCAGCTCTATCTTGAATAAATGCATAATGCATAAGAGCAGCAGATTTGTGTAGCTGTGAGGACATTTTTCCTTAACTGACCAACATGTTTACTACACCTCCAGAAACAGAAATGACTCACGACCCAGTTCAAAGAAGTACTTTGAGGAGGAAATGACACAAACAGCACGACAAGCCTGGAACCTTTGCTTTCATACAAACAAATGGGTGTTTGAATTTTTTGTATAACCAGCATTAGATGCTAGAAATGAGCTGTAAAATGTGTTGTGTGGGTAAAACTTCCAACAAAACAAAGGAAAAATAAGTTTTAATGACTACATGGTAGTTGTTTCTTGCAGACCATCACACCAGCCACAGATACTACTCACTGTACACTCAACCCCAAACCGTCCTACACTAAACACAACTCAGCTATGTTTTTGTGTCATGTGCCAATCATATTTTATACAAGGTCATTAATGCCAAATTTGACATTATGTACTTCCACCACCCAACAGCACGACTTTAACGACATTTTACTGTTCTGATCCAGGTTAAATAAGCTCAACATATAGTTATGTAGTTGCAATAAGCCAAAACATGAAACTATTATTCATAAAACTTGTTAAATTTTGAAGTTTACAGTTTGATTAAGCCTTTTTATAATCTGAAAGGTGAGGGGATGTTGATTTGATTATTGAACATAATCATTAAAATGAATTAAAAAGCTGGTTTTACCTGACGCTTTTGTCAAAGACCTTGGTGCGAAATACTTCCTCCTGATCCAGACTTATGGTGCAAAATGTACAGAGATCTTTTTGTCTATTTGGACCTGAGACTGGGCCCAGGTTCTTAGCTTCACCTGCAACATAGAAAGGAAAGAAAAACATTATCAAAATAAAACAATGTTTCAAAATTAAGCCAAAAAACAATCAACTAACAGCGGCTTTACTTTTACTTAGCAGTCTTCATTTATTTCATAAGAGTATCAATATTATTTTTTAAATTAAACAAATGCATTCAAGCAAATTTATAGGTGATGTTCTGAGGTGGTAGCTCACTGTGCTGTGGCTGTTGGTGACTCAAAATGTGGGAGAAATTTGTAAGAAAATGTGCACGCTTTCCATTGTCTCATTGGATTCTAAGTGTTTGTGACCAAGCGACATTCTGAGCGACAAATTTTTGAAACTCGTGGTCTATTCTTATGTGCACAGCTTGCAAAATTGCCTTCTTGGTTGTGCAYGTTATTTTGTTGCTCATATCTTACCCACCTCGGCTGCCGCCCCCACATTTATGATTTAATCTACTAGAGCAGTGTATCCCAAAGTTGGGGTCGGGACCCAAAGTGGGGTCCCGAAACATCAAGGTGGGGTCCTGAAAAGATTTTCTGAAATAATTACATTTTTGCCTTAGTTGTTGCTAATGAGTGAGGTTAGTATATTTAAAATGGATAAATGTAGTACAACAAAAATATTGTTACTATGCCCTTGTTTTGTTGACCTGATGCAAATGTTTACCATCCAAAATTAGTTGGGGGCCAGGTCTCTGCTACTGTCTTGTACTATTTTGTGGGTCAAAAGCTAAAAAGTTTGAGAACCATTGCACTTTGGTTCCCAACGTTGGGCTTGGGATCCAATTATGGGTCATGAAGCACCTTGGATAATCTCCAGAAATCAATTTAAAGGGTAATGAAATAATTGCTGATGTAATATTTTCCCTATAATTATTACAAAAACACAAAATAAGTAAAAATAAGTATTTAAATTTGTGTACAAGCTGTTTAGATTGTCAAAAAGCCTGTGTTTTTAGGGTTATTAACAAAGTTCGTGTACTCAGACCAGTAATATTTGGGGTCACAAGTTTTTGCCATGAATATTTTGTGGGTCAGAAGACAAAAAGTTTGGGAACCACTGTACTAGAGTACACGTTTGAATGAAGAAAGGCAGTTTTGGACCAGTTTTTCGATAATTACAGTTTATCATCTGTGGGATTTTTAGACCTGCACATTTGATTCAGAGGATTTTTGTGAAAAAAATCGAGCTCTCGTACAAAAGTTAAGATACAACTGTATCTAATTACTTTGAGCACGTGCAAAATTTTTTTGCATCTTTTTGGCCCATGCGAGGAAATTACGACGACAAGACATTCTGGAGACCCCCTCGTGAATACTGTTCACTAACTTGCAGTCCAGTGAAAATGTCACCTTAACTCTAACGATTCAGTGCAGTCCTAAAAATCTTTAAAACAAAACTAAACCAATTTTGATGAACGTCAACAAGAAAACAAGTGACCTAACAAACAAATAACCTGCCAGTGAATCAGACTTTGTACAACCAGATCCTAATGGACAACACATTCATAACAGCAGCCACACATTTAAAACATGTACTTTGATGTCTGACATCCTCGTGTTGACTTGGGGGACAGGCGTGCTGCTCCTGCCAGTCGTTCGGGCAAAACTGCATAGCGGATGTAGCTCAAGCAGACTCGAGGCTCATATGTGGTTAAAAACATGAAACGCTGACTTCCTCAGCATAACCAGTGGCGACAGCACAGCGCTGATTCACAAATGACAAACACCTTTGTAACACACACCACTTCCATTCCATTGCAGACAGACACTGATTATGTGCTATGCGAAGGGCAAAGGGCATGGAGCAACATATAAACTACATTTAAAAAACTGAAGAATCAAAATTTGTGCCAGAGTAGCCATTCAAACACAGCCCTATCTGTAAGTTCACACAGTCACCTTTTAGATTTTTAGAATAAAGAGGCCATGTGGGAGTATAAATTAATCTTTTAGCTCTGGATCAGCACACCAAGTCCAGTAAGGAACCTCATTAGGAAAAGCCACGTATAAGATCAGCAGTTAAGACTATTAATAACAGAGAGTAGCCAACTTTAGAAATAGTAAAAACAGCAACTAGTTGTCACTAAGCTAATACCAAGATGACCTAGTGTGGGTGTATGACACAAGCAAGTACGTAAACCCTACTGTCATCACTTTAATACTTTTAAATTTTCACTAAAATAAACACGTCTCTTGCTGAAATCCCCATTAAATGATAATCAAAAGAAATATAAAACAACCAAATAAGTCTATAAACTGAAAATTAAACAAATATATCCATATGGAAAACTACACAGGGCACATAAAACTTAAAAGAATACAACTTCGGACTGTGCCACCTCCACTGGCGTTCGCTAAAAGAAAAAGGACCAAATGTGAACGAGGAAGAATGGAGTTTCGCAAGACAGCAAAGCAAGTTACATGCCATGATGGTTCCTCAATTTTGTTCTGCTTACTGTCTTCTCATTAATTCATAGTAGTGAAACTGACATTTGCCTTTCTATTGTGTGCATATGTTTTTAAAGGTTTTAGCAGATTTTCCCCTCACATTAATTAACACTTACACATCTTTTTTTTTGGCCACTGCTACAAAGCGATTCTTAGGCATACATTACGGATCTCTTGTCAAATGTGCAATATTTTCTAACACGATGACAGTGAACATTGTTTTAATGACACACTGGCAACCCATTTTAAGCTATTTTCCTTTTTGATTATTAGCTGTGGTTTGTGGAAGTGAATAAAACTAATATAAATGATCTGAAAACACTGATATATAAAGTTTGGCAAAGTAGGCTCTAATTTATGAGCTTAAGTAAAGTTGCTGCTTACATAGTCTTTGGACTACCTAAACTATTTCCATTTGAAACTCAAAATTTTCTTAGACAAAAAATTAAACAAAACCACATACACATAGATACATATATATTTACACAGACATGCATACAAATATTGCAGTGAAACATCCCAAACTAAAGATACTAGCTCCTGATACAGTATGATTTACTTTAAAATTAGTATCTAATTGAAGTATTTAAAAAAAGATTGTGTTACTGACTAACTTTGCTTTTGCTTGCTAAATGATTTACAGTAATGCAGTGTGTAAAATAGTTAACTCCGTCTTGTTTACGCTTTCATTTTATTTGTTCTGGTTTAAAATTATCTAAGTTATTGTCTGTATAAAGAGCAGAGTGACAAAAATAGAGTTTATATGGAAACTGAACTTAAATTATAGCTTAACATAATAATCTGACTAATGTAGCATGAAGATTTAACATTAAGTTCTCGACTATATCTGATTCTGTCTGTTGAGAAGTTTTTATAAACCTGAAAACTATTGTTTTTATTTTTGGCATATGCTATATTTTAAAACAATACATTTCTCACGAACAATATTTGTGCATAAATACTAAATGTCATACATAAGGCAGCATTGAAGCTATCATAAAGTATGAGACAAACTACGAACAACCATAAAAGTCCTGCTGTATTTGGGTCACAAAATTTAGTAGTACACCTATTGAAACTGAATGAGCTAACTGAGTGACGATAGATTAGGTGAATGGTGGTAGCTAGATGTACTTTGTCACCAACATCAACTGAGCTCTCAGGGTAGCTCTGCCCGACAAAAATATGCTACATTTTCACGTAAAGCACAGCTCATACTCGAAGAATTTAACCGACATTGGTTAAGCTGTTTAGCGACACAAAATGAAGGTATCATTAAGAACTAGCTAGTAGCTGGAGCTAGCATGCTAACTTGACGTTAGGCACCAGCAGGCAGCGGAGCTTGCTCTGAAGGTACCCGTCTCTGCCTTCACACTGTCGGCTGTTGATAGCACACCGCGCCCCTCCGGGTTCCTCCTGTCTCGCCGCTCAGCTCTTCCACCGACCTCACTCCCCACCCACCCCGGTGTGTGAGACGCATCGTCTAACCCAGTCAGCCACACTTACATATTTTACCCCGCAGACTCTGTAAAATCCGAATCCTAGCGTCGTCCTCTTCCGCCATGGTCAGGGCTGAGTGTTGTTGCTGCTCCGGTGCATTCAGCGCTGTTTTATCATCATATCCGTTTATGAATGCAGGCAGAGTGGAGGAAAGCCAGCCCCACCGCCGCGTCACGTCAGCTCTCGTAAAAACTGTTGCTTTAAAACATTTGGCAAAAAATCAGTTCCTCCGGAGTCCTTTCGGCTGTCACCGAGATGTGTAGCTGTCTGGAGTTTAAAAAAAAGGATCTCAGGTATCTGTGCGGCGTGGTGTGTTATGCAATAACGTCTTCGGAGAACACAGAGTTGTAGAGCTAGCTCTGCTAGCTAACCTCGGATACCAGTGCTCAAGTGAAGTGTGTCGGTGGGTTGAAGACAGCACGCTCATGTGCGCGTGAGTGTGTCACCAGTTGTGAATGAGCCGACAGCCGCCCATGAACGCATCACTGAACGGCCAAGGTACAGTGCGCTGAGAGGAGACGTCAAAAACAAGTAAAAGGCGAAGAAAAACACAAAACTGGAACCTATGAATTTTATAGGTTTCAAATTTATGTAAAATGAAGTTACCATGAAACTAACAAACAAACAAAAAATTATGACAAAAAAAAAAGAAAAAAAGAAAAGAAAAGAATTAGGCCTACCTGGTTGAAATCATACCAGTCACTAAAACTAAAATTAGCAAAATTGTAGGTAACATTAGAATTGTTGCTAAAAGCTAAATGTTGCTAAATCAAAACTAAAATTAGAACAACTAAAATGTGAATGTAGTAATTACCTAAATAAAATATAAAACWTGTGGTTAATATTAGCTTATTTGTAGCTAAAAGCTAAGCATAATGAGACAAAACTGAATAAGATGAAGAAGATTAAAAACACTGTTTTTAAAGGAACTAAAGTGAATTCAATATATAACCTTATTATTTACTTTATGGGTTGATGAGTAGACACACACACACACACACACACACACACACACACACACGTTCGGGGTTCAACGATACAGAAAATTCACAATTCGTTTCAGTTTGATACTTTAGTCTCACGGTTCTGTATTTTTTCTATACAAAAAAGAGAAATTCCCATGCCCTTTTTAAATATTTGATTTATTGAAATTAATTATGAACACTTGTTTAACCTGAAAAGTAGGCTACAGTTTTTAAATTAAATGTTGCTGAAACAGCAAGTTTCACAGTGGATCTGCACTTGACAATGCAGCCTTGGTGGAGTAGTCGAATGCAGATCCGCTGAGCCTTAAACACAGAGCATCTTCAGAAGACAAGCTGATTAAATAAACTGTAAAAGTCTGTATTGTTTGATACGAGTGGGTATTGAWCCTAAAGCACTGTATTGAACGGTTGGAATACATGTATTGTTGCACGCCTAATACATACAGTATATTCTTCAGTTCAAGTTTTAGTACCTTCTCAGCCAATGTTCCAAGTGAGCCAGGTCTCTCAAATGATTTAACGTCACCAAAATTCTTGCCATTGATTATCTAAAGAGCAACATTAATGACAGTGTTTATTTTTATTTACTTTAAAATTTATATTTGTAACAAATTCATTAAAGTGGCAATGTGTAAACTAACAGTGGAGTACCATAGTTCGAGTTTGACCAAATGGAGTCTATTTTCAAGCTTTGACCAGTGAAGGGAAGGTGGCCTCGACTTGGCCATGTCATTTTTTGGAAACTGCGGCAGAGAATGGTGAGTGTTTTGTCTCTTTATTTCACTTATTTATCTGCTAGTGATAAGCTTGCTACTGTATGAACATGGATATTTAGTGCTGCTGTCAAGCAGCCTTGCTATGACAATACTGCCCAATGTGTAATCCATAACTACTGGATAAACACTACTGTGGATTTTGTGGCAGTGCAGTCAGTATCGATGTCCTCAAACATTTTGGCCAGATGTAACAAAATGTTGACAATTCCTAAATCCTTTGTTTCACATCTGGTGCTGTTTCCTTTGGTTTTCCTGTTTRGACTTTCTTCTTTTGCTCAACACAACACCTACTGCACATCGGCACCAACATAATTATGTGCATGCTGTTTACTAAACAAGGAACTGATTCCCCTTTTATTTTGACGCTGTGCTTCCCGGGTTCCTTTTACCTATGTGTGAAGATGTCAGGAAACAGTGGCTTTTGGTCAAATATTTGACATAATAGTTTACATTGCATCTCACTGTAGATATTAAAATTTGACAACAAATAACACTTTTGTATAAGGTTTCTCTACAAGATGTTTAATGAAGAGGTGTCTACAAATAGACTTTTGTTAAACARTTCTCTCATTTTTTACCATCAAAGTTTATTGATAAGTTAGGATTATTAGTTATTAGCAGAGGAACAGCGACTCTTCTCTGAGCGTTCCTTCGATGATGGAGCCCTTCACCTTATGAGCAGGGCCACCCTACTGCAGGCTCAGTTTAGCTGCTGGTAGTTGGGATCTCTTGGTCATGATCCATACCTCATGACCAGAGGTGAGGGTTGGAACGTAGACAGACAATTAAGCTGAGAGCTTTGCCTTTTGACTCAGCTCTTTCTGCGTTTCAACATWCATTAGCGACACTGGTCACACTGGACATAGTCCTTTTCCATATCTACAAAACGCATGTAAACTGGATAGTTAGACTCACATGACACACTTAGCATGAAGATCTGATCCAGTGTTCCATGACCAGGATAAAAACCCCACTACTCCTCTTGAGTGTGAGGGTTGACAATTGGTCAGCAACTCTTTTCCAACAACCTGGAATAAACTTTCCCTTCGGAGGCTGAGGAGTGCAATACTTTGATGTTTGGGACACACCCTCTAACCCTTTTAAAGAAATAGGAAACACCAGTGAAATTACAAGACCAGAGCAATGACCACAGCCAGATCCTCCTTTTCAAATATATGTAATAAATTATATAATATAGTTCTCAGAAGTGAGGTTGATCAAACAGCTATCTACAACAGGTAGGACATTAATTGTTCATAACCTATCCACAATGTGTTTAATTGTGTGACATCAGTTGTGAATAACTAGTTAAGAACGTTATTAGGAAGGAAGGAACGTTATAGAAAGTTATTGGACTGATCTGCTGGGCACAGGATGGAGCATTTAATTTTTTTCTTTCACAGGATTATAAAGAGATGCAATAAAAGATGAAATAATAACAAATATGCAAAAAGAGAATGTGACAGAAATTGGTCAAAAGGAAATGCCAAAACCCATGACAAACATAATTACCTAAACTAAGTACTTCTTAACTTGTTTTTTGAAATGTATTGTAATTGCTTTAGCTCAAATGAGTGTGGCATCTTCAGCCTTTGTGAACTAAATGACTAATGTAAAAATTAAACTTTACACGGATACTGCTATGTTTTGCTAATCTAAATGTTAAGTATCATTCATAATTTAGCCTTCAGATTTTACCTAGAAATTTTCATTTATTTGTTGCTTATGTCATCTCAAAAACATCTCTAACTGTGTTCCATGGCTAAATTAGTTTCATTCATAATAGAAGGAAATGTTACCTGGATTTGATGTGTTCTGCTTTACCTGACATGTTTGTAAAATATCATTCATTTGGTTCATCACAAACAAAGAAGTAAGGACTTCAGAAACATCTGGAAATTATGTTTAGAGGCCTAACACAGATGTGGAGCAAAAAAAATAAATGAACTTTTCAGATGGGCTGTAGGTCCCTGAAGGAGCAGGAGGAGCAGAAAACCATCATGTGGCTTTTTGTACAGAAAACTGTGGAGATTTTGTGCAAACTTAAGTTTTGCCATTTGAAGTTTTCTGTTAACATTTTTAAACAACTGAACTGAAGTGCCAAAAATGTGACGACTAAATCTGYCCTTTTAAAATGTGTGGTGAAGAAGGACACATTTCAACTGTTCATAATATCAATAATATTTATTTGAATACTTTTACATGTTTTAAACATAATAAACACAAAAAAAGGAATTAATATCCACTCAGTGGTTCTGTGTATTAATAATAGAAATTCAAACATCAGTGGTGCTTAGAATAAAAATTGAATGATCAAAGTATTAAAGAACAAATCAGCATAGTGTACATATAAAGTGCAAACAGAACAGGAGATTCAACAATGTGTCAGCAGAGAATTTCTATTGTTTTGCCCATATTTAACAATTTTTTTTACATTTTTAATAAAAAGGGAAGATATGCCAACAATAGGTCACTTTTCTGCATTGGAACTGTTGATTTGTTATTGCACAGTGTTAAAAACATTACCATGAGTTACGGACTCTGCCATACATGCATAGACTAAGGACAAAATACAGTTTGTGTCAATAAGTCCTATAATACAAAAACTACCTTCTATGTATATGGAAAAAAAAGATAAAATCACTGTGTCCTTAATTGGAGTTCAGTAAGGAAGAATTTAAAGACTACTGATGTTACATTCTTATACTTTGCATTGTCTGTTTTAAAGAATTGGCCTTTTTAACAAAAGCAACAACTTCAGATTTTTTTTCCTACAAATGGTTTCAGTCCTCAGTCATGTTAGAAAAAGGGCTCTTCTTTGCACACCCATTTCTCTGGCTTGTGAACAGAAATGTGTGCACTGTTTGACTCAGAATCATTCCTCCCTAACTGTTTACTGGCCTTTTCATGACTGTGTGTTCTATATCCATGTCCTGTCAACATACTCTTTTTGCTGTCATTGTCTCTGTTGTAGACTTGCTTTTTTGAAAGGAGATGCATAGAATGATGCACGTTGATCCTCCTTTTTACAATTTTATGCTTGACTTTTGAGGATGTGAGAGAAGGCAGTGAGTCAGAGCAGGGGGACAGTGGTCTTTTAATGTTGGATTTTGAGATATCTTGGTAAGCAGTTAAAGACATAAAGTCATTTGCATCCTTGTTTTTAAGTGCATTATCAGATGAAAAATATTCTCCTTCCATGCTCTCAGATTTGATGTTTTTGTCCTCCTGATCATCGCTGTCCTTCATTTTAGTGGCACCTTCTTTATTGTCGTATTTGTAACTTTCCTTGTTTTCTGCCTGGTGTTTTTTCTCATGGCTTCTCTTTGTGGCGAGATACAGAAAACGCTGGGGACAATAGGAGCAGCGGTATTTCTTCTCTGGGTTGGGGCTTCGGGGTGTGTTGTCAAAACAGGAGCCATTTTCCATGCAGCTTTTACAGATGTAATCACCACTGACTGGTGCCTCACCAGAAGGACCTTGTTTACCACAGATCCGGCAGAAATATGGATGGGAACCAATTACGTGAGCTCTCAGTCCCGTCTCTGTGATAAAAGAGCTGTCACAGATGTCACAATTGTAGGTGGCCCTTGGGCTGAGGTTCCTGCCAAGACTATGTTTCACCCCTTCACCATTGCCTAAGTTCCTCTCCTCGGCTTGAAAATAAGTTTTATCAAGGTGGGCCTCACTGACAGAAGTTCTGTCTGCAGATGGTTCAGGATACTGGTGAAACATAGGCCTGCTGTGTTTGTATTTGAGCTTGTTTCGTTTCTTTTTAGCTTTGTAAGAATAGTAGGGACGCCAAAGCTCATCGGCTGTGTCGTTGGGGTCATCGTACGTCTCTGGACCAGTGAAGGCAGCGATTTCTGGTCTGAAGCGAAGTCTAGGGCTCTCCGAGTTTTCCCTCGTTGGAGAGCTTTGACTTAGACTCTGCTCTCCACTTGCTTTTCTTGTTCTCCTTTTCTTCCTTGGGAATAGCTTTGACCCTTTGATCTGACGGCGAATGATGGCTTCATTGCCTATCTTCACCGTAATCTGACACAGAGGCATGGGATCATTTTCCAGGGATGGACCCTGGCATGCAGGCTTGGCAATATATGTCTCCACAACTTTATCACACATTGGATTCTCTGCGCTTGACTGAAGAATCTCCTTGGTCATCTCCTCAACTCTTTTGGCAGAAGCTGACAGCTCACCTAACCTCTTAACAGTACTCAAGGAATTTAGAAACGATGCATCATGACCAATGTTGTCTGAATTAATTATTATTGGTGGATCATTGTTGAAAACTGCAGACAATTCAGAATTGGGCTGCACAGAAAAGATGCTGTCACAGTTATCAGTGGATGGATCCCTGTTTTCAACCTCTTGTCTATTGCTTCTCTGCGTTTCTGATGCACTGTTCAAACTTTGGTCCGTATCATGGTCACTTGGCTTGTTGAAGCAGATGCGTGGTATGACAGGGGAGACAATTTTTGTCGTCGCCATGAATGTAAGAGGAAAGGAAGTTGTGTCAGTGTGACACGTGAGACCATTTTCTTCAAAGGGAGGAATAAGTGAACTGTTGTCTAGAGAGGACGGATCACTTCTTTCACAATGTTCTGAATACATCTGACTGTATGTCTTGTATTGTCTTTTTCTAAACTTCATGGGAAGAAGCCTGTAGAGCTTGATTGGATAAACACTAGCTTTCAGCCCACCATTGGCAGATTTTTTCTTAACAGATAGGTTTGGATCAATGCCATGAAAGGACTTCTGATGGTTTTTCAAGATATAATATGTCATGAACGTCTCCAGGCAGAAAATACACTGATAGCGTCTCTCACCTGTGTGCCAGATTTCGTGCTTTGTGCGATACTCTGCCAAGGCAAACACTTTATTACAATAATGACAAGGGTAGGCCCTCTGCCAAGAATGTACATTCTCGTGCCGCTTCAGGCTGGATAGGGTAACATAAACCCGTTTACACACACTGCAGTTGTATCTCCTCTGACCAACACCTGGCTTCACTGCCTTTTCAAATTGTCGATGCTCCGATTGAACAGGTTCATCAGATTCTGACACGAAAGAGTTGGAGAAATCCGCGGAAGGAAGTGTGTCAATGCTCTCCACATCCAACTCATCCTCTGAACCTTGGTACACGTCTTTGGCTGATATATCCCTGGGATCTAGCTTAGGTGAGCCTCTCAAAGCAGATGGACAAACCTGCTCATGGTTGTGTAGTCGCTTGAGGTGTATGAATTTTCTGCTGCAAAATTTGCAAAACAAATGACTAACAAAATGTTTTTTATGCACCTCTGCATGAATGGTGAGTAGAGCATCATTTGGAAATATCTCTGGGCACTGCTCACAGCTGTAGATTGCAACGCTGTCCTCGGTGTGAGGAGAAAGCGATGGTGGCCCTAGCTCCATATTCACTTCATCGGTGGCTGCAGATAGCCCCGTGTTAATTTGTTTTTCTGTTTCTGCCTCTGAAAGAAGGGAAGGTGGTATCATAATGGTGGTAGGTGCCTCTGAACCACCTGTGGATAATGGCGTTGCTGTGTTTAATTTATCGGTTTGCAGTTCTGCAGGCTTTGAAAGTAGACTTCTACCCAAAATACCTCTCAGTCTATGGCGTTTTTTGAGGGGGCCTGAATTCCTGTAAATCAGTTGCTTTGACTGTAAAGAAGGCTTGTAGAACTTATTGTTGTCCCATTGACTCCCATCTTTGCCTTCAGTGGATTTGCTTACCGCATACGAGTGTTCGAAGAGGGTGTGGTTTGGCTCATTGCTCCCGTTGATGCAGAATGCTGTGGAAAGGTTTGATGGTAGCTGTCCCACATCTGGCAACTGCTGCTCATCATTGGTTTGAACTAAAGAGGTGAAGGGATTGTTGCCAAGACTCACTTCATTGATAGAGAAGGCATTAGTAATGCGAGGCCCTCTGGTACCGTCTGTCTCTTCAGGCCTGGAAACTTCCTTCTTCGTTTGTCTGGACCCAAGAACTGTGCAAAGTTCTGTTGACGCCACACACTCATCCTGCTTCTCCTCTGTAAGCCTCTCTAAAAAAGGAATTCCAAGTCTTTTTCCTGCTGCTACAAGCCCCCGTATGTCATCAGCACAGAGTGATGTCACCTTTGAGCAGTATATAAAGTTAAGGATGTCAGCAAACACCTCAGACCTCAGGTCCATCAGCTCCAGCACTTGGCTGGAGCTGCATTTGTCGGAACTTGTCAGAGCATTTTTGAAGTATCCACTGCATGCTGCGAGGATGTTCTTGTGGGCCCGAAACTTAACGTCCTCCACCACAATGGTGACATCACAGAACAGGCCTTGGGAGCGCTGCTCATTGAGCTTGCTCAACACTGCGTGAGGGTGGGTGCTATCCATCAGGTTCTGATGTATAAGGACACTGCAGTCATCTAAAAAATAAAAAAACAAGAAATTATTACATTACATTAAAAACTGAAAAAAGAAATGAAAAAATAAAATAAAATCTATTTAAATAAGCCCATAACTGTGTTCATGTCCTATCTGAAAACTGTGCATCTCTAATTTTTAACACTAGATGGCAGTAATGTTTTTACACATGAATGCCAGTTTTCTTGCATCAACTCTGGTGTGTTAAAACATCCTAATTTCCACAACATTTCACAAAACATCTCTTCTTAAACAAAGAAAAAAAATCCCAAGGACTGGACCCCACCCAGAGGTCAATAAAATATTTAATATAATCAAAGAATACTTTATTGTAAATTAAAAGTACTTTTACAGAACTGATTTAAAGACTGTGACATTATTATTTAATATGTTATAGATTATATGATAGTCACAGTTCCTCAGTCCCTTAATGGAGGCATTAAACACAAAACTTTCATTGTATCATGAGAAGAAATGTTTCAGCTGTGAATCACTGGTCAGTGCTGCAGTTTAGGAGAGAGATTATTGAGGAAGGGAATTATGGTTGAGAGGATTTTCTTTTAAATTCCAGCCATAAGTGAATTCGTCAGATGGCATTTTAATGTCAGCACTGAACTCCTAAATGTTGCACATAGGCCTCTGCATCAGAAAAACACCGCCGCTGTTTCATAAACAAAATAGTGAAACGTTGCTTTTATAAAAAGGAACAAAGATGCTAAAATCAGTTACTGCTGTCCTGAAACATACTGACAGAAACAATGACATAAAGACTTTCATATAGGGAAATAAATTGCATGTGCAGTATATTTAATTAATATTATTATTCGCATCCCGTGAAAGGAAATGTCATAAAAAGCTCAAGCTGGCTGATCACTAATCAAAGAAAGTCTTAAGAGGACATTTTGCTCAGACAACAGATGTCCTGCCATTTGCAGTAAATTATAATTATTTTTTTWAAATCAAAATTAATGTTAATTCTGCCAGCTGTGAAGTGAAACCTGTGCAGCTGTCATGACAGGCCTGTTCTTCTCAGTGTTTGGGTTATGAAGGAAAATGTCAAGCAGATATTTATGTGATGATGAGTCATATGGTTCCTTCAGTTATCTGTCAGCTGAAGGCACACGTTCATTTTATCACAAAACGTCGCCACAATCTTGGTAAATTAAAAAAAATAACGTGAGGGTAAATGATGATGAGTCCAAGTACTGAAAATAAATGAAAAGCGAAAATATCAATTTCCTGTTGACTTAAAGTTAATCCTCTTCATTTTACGGATTGTACAGCTTAATTACTCAGTTGCTATATACTAATACACATCTACCATTATCATATATACATAACTGATCTATAAACATTTACATGATGAGAAACCTTCACATAAAGTATTTTATTATGAACACTTGAAGTGACTTAAAGGCAGTCAGAGTTCATTTGTTCATTTGTTTGAAAGCTGCATCACAGAGTGTGATGAACTGTATTTACAGTCATATCAAAGTCTTGGGTTTGACTCATTTAATGTCTTACACATGAGTCATCACACCTGCATCATTCAAGGGTCCATTTTGAGCACTCTTGTTCTTACAGCTGTCATGAAGTTAATTGTTACTCTGAAGGAAAGGTGGTCGTCTATATGTAATGTGTTGTAAAAATGTACTCATTTGAATTAAAGCTTTTTTTTAATTGTCCAGTTTCAAAACAGTTTTAGATGTAAGAGTCAGGTACGTTTATCATCTGTAGTGACATTAAGTTCTATTTGGTACTTCAGAACCTTCGCATTTTAGTCAGTTTTTATAAAAACACTGCGATATTGATTGATAGTATACATAAATACAGAGGCTGCTTTAATGTTGTAAAATTGTCTTTATTTCGTTCTAAATTTGCCACCGTGCAACAAAAACAATATGGCCGCCGTTCTTTACAGCTTCTCAGACGGCTGAAAACACGACGGCCCTCTCGCCTTCTGTCTCAGCCGGGCCTCCGTTGTCATGGTGACATGCTGTGGCGCAGCATTTATTGGGATTCTGCTGGATGCCGTCGCCGACTGGCTGTATCAGCCTTCGGTGTATTCGGTTACTTCTGACTCACAAACATCCTGCCGCCTCTGAGAGCCTGCAACATGCTGTAGTCTGCAGAGCAGCCGAGGTTTGCTTTTGTCTTCACCTGAATCTACTTTGTGCGCGTCGGTCTGAGAGGTTGTTTTTTTTTTGTGTGTGTGCAGCACAAAATGGACTTCCTTATCTATCACGTCATTATCAGAGGAGCAATTGATGAGCCATGCATTTCCTTATTCCTCAGTTTGTGGTATTTGTGGAGCAGTCTGATCTGTTTTTTTTACAGGCGCTTATTTCACTTTACAGCGTTTATTTTTTCACAGTTTGTGTCAACTGATGTGGGTTTATGCCGCCACATGCTGAGTGAGCGGAAATTCTGAGTTTTGGTATCCGGTGCTTGTGAATTTGCCACACCTCAACTCAGTTTACCTTGAAAGCCAAAACAAAGATTTATTTTTATAATTTTCTTTCTGAAACGTAAAAATCCCCACATGCAAAACCTCAAACCGACATGATCGACAGCACTGTATTGACAAACAGAGAGCAAACTGTCAAAGCAAAAGCCTCCTCGTGCATCTCTGCCAAGCGCACTTCCGCTAAAGTAATAATGATAATTTAAAAGAAAATCCAAATAAAAAGGACTGAGTAGACATGCAAAACGTACCTTAGTAAATCTGAGAAAATGATGCGCAGCAAACAGGAAACATTGTCATGCAGTATTCCCTCTCTTTACCGCCCATAGACCCAACTAAATATGAAAAACAGTTTCGAAAGAGCAAGGCGAAAGTAGTTTTCGTTTTTTTTTTTGTTTTGTTTTTACGAGGGTCGCTGAACAGTGGTGTTGTGAGAAGCAGAGCTCTTTTTTTTCTGACGTCTTTCTTCCTCTCCCTCCCTCTCAGCGTGCAGAGGACTCCAGCTTCAGCATCCATCGCTTCTCACCATGCAGCCCAGGTCCTGGGATTCARCTGCCCTGCCCTCCTCTGACTGTCCATCTTCTGTCCTACAGGCACCGCACAGCCACTGGAACAACTCGCAGTTTATGCAGGACGTAGCTACACCAGAGCATGGCTCCTGCCTTGTGCACTAGCTGGGCAAATGACGCTTTTTCATTCCGGAGCCGCTGAGCAGGAAACGGCAACTTTTATTAAACATCGCAAAGGACTACGTGGAGGCTCTGCATCACACTCCGGCTTGATTCCACAGTCAAGAGAAAACGCTCAGCTGCATTGCTATCAGTGCATAAAACGAGGAGTCTTGTGCTGTACAACGGATGCGGTGTTAAATCTCTCCTGCACTGCACGAGCCAGATGCAGTTCCACGTTGACCGTGGCAGGAAAACGTCTCGCCTTTAAATAAAACCATTACACTCAGAGTGAATGTGCACCTTCGATACATAACAGCGCACCATCTGTTTCAAGCTTGTGCGCACACTCTCTGCCCGGGCAGCAGCAGATAACACCGGAGCACTTCGCCCATGCTTATGCAGTGACTGTTGTTAGGTAAAGCAAAAGCAAAGAGGAGTTGGCACCGGCAGCACAGCGGTCACAGTACAGATGTTCATCGGTGCTTTTTTTTTTCTTTTTTATGGCTCTGACTGAGTGATCCTGCTCTCAGCAGGGACTCTGCTCTACCTATATAGAGGCTGCAGATTGATGCAAAAGCAGCAAATGCGTCAGCACTGCAGACGAGAGGGGGAGGGGAGGAAGCTAACACGACACGGCTCTGTAGTCTGAGCCTCTGAAGACGAAAGCAGTATGGCATCATGGCTGGTCAGGACTTTGTCTAAAACCCACTTTAAGCCTGATTTAAAGCCAGATATTTTTGCAAATGAGCTTAGTTTTCAAATCTTAACAGTTTTTTTTTTGGTGCTCATTGCCTCACAGACACATGTTTTTTAACCCATAATTCACCTCGGCTGGGTCAGTTTTGTGGTTGCACAAACACCTTTCCCCCCCATAAATAGAATGCTGGAATCAGAATATACGACTCTTACATCAAAAGGTTCTCTTAGTCCAGAAACAAGCTGAACACACTTCTGCCTTAAAGACGGTTTGAGGAGTCTCTTTGTGTGCTTAAGTTCTATTATTTTCAACTAAAGTTGGTTCAGATATACAATACAAAAAAACCGTATGTTTAGGAAGATAAATATATCTCCGTTGATGGACAGTCAAAGAAAGTTAGCATTAAAAAAGTAATTAACCTAAAGTGTACGAAGGAAACATAAAGGTATACTTGTGCTACAGGATTTTTTTAAAGCCATGCTTGGTACAAAATCTTAAAGATGATCAGAGCAATCAGCACTCCTGTTACAAAAGAACACTGTAATTATCAACTTGTCAAAAACATGAGGATTAACATCTCAAGGTGTAAAAGCTTATTTTCAGCTTCCTTTTCACTCACCACTACTCCGGTTTCCAGCATTTCAAACATCTATCCTTAATACTGCACACACTGACAAGTGGGATTTGTGGTGTTTATATGTGGATCAGAGTCTGATCCTTTTGAAAACTGAACATTTCTGCACAGCAATAATTGCGCTTTCAGAGTAAACAAACCAAAAACCAGATAGCGTTAATGATTTTAAAGCAAAACATGCTGAAAACGTCTTGTGTTTAGCTTGTATTTTAATATTTAGTTCCCTCATACCAGTCTAACACTATACATCTAACACCACATTCTTGTTGTTAAGTATATTAGTTTTCTGATAATTCAATATGCTATGAACAAATGCCTTTTAAATATTTATTACATAAGACTTGGACTGTCTGCACAGAAGTGCGGACACACATTACACCTAACAATCAATGATTACAGTATTTCTATATTTAGATGCTCTAAGGAAGAAAACAGACGTGTTCCTGCACTTGTGATGCTGTTTTGAGAATCCTTCCAGCTTTGTTTGCAGTTGAAGCCAAATGTTATTTTCCCAGAGTTGMATTTGTGAGAACAAGTAGATAAGAGTTTCTCGCAGGACGGAAGAAAAGGACTGCAAACCTGAAGTGAAATTAAACCTGCAAGTTGAGTCCTTTAAAAACAGCCACACAACGATTGAATGTTCAAAATAACATTGTTTTCAACACAGATTTGATTTTGCTGTCAGTAGGCAGATAAGGTGTTGCAGACTGATTAATTTAAAGGACTCACAAAATACATTCTGGTATAAAAAGCTTGGAATGTGAAACAGTTCTTTTGACCATTCTGTTCCTTGATATTTTCTCTGAGCTGACAAATATGTCTTTAAAAAATGGACAAGATGTCTACAATATAGTATATGGCTTATTTTGTTTTGTACTACAGTATAGACACGCGTGTCAGGAAGCTTAGTGTTTGTTTTGAGATCTAGAGGCCTTGAATTGTCCAGAACATGATCTGTTCACCCATCCATCCGTTTTCATCTGCTTGTCCAAGATCAGGCTGCTGAGGCAACARGCACAGAAAAACCCAAACATGGGATTATGTATCCTCTCTGGCCTGGAAACGCCTTGGAGTCCCCCTGGATAAGCTGGAAATTGCCGCTGGGAAGAGGGATGTCTGGGTTTCTCTCCTGTACCTGTTGCCTCCATGACTCGACTATGGATAAGCAGCAGAAGATGGAGATGGAGATGAGTACTTTGTATGTCCCGCGGGGACCCCCTAGAGTTTGGGGTGCTAGACAAATGTCTACCTGCAAATGGCTGCCTGTATTGAAGTCTTATTACTGCCGTCTGGAGAATGACTGTCCAGTACAGGACACTTCAATTTGGCCTAAAATATGGGACATTCCAGCTATTATGGGAYATTTGGCAACCCTACCTCAGCTCTGAAGGCAGCAGGTGCCTTTCTAATCCAATCAAATTCAGCCATCGATACTTTGTGCTAATGTTTACATGACAGTTTCTCAATTCAAGGGTTGCAGCCGACGTAGGGATGCATTTGTCGGCCGCTTACGTCACTGCTGCATGCTGTAGGCTATTCCAATTTGTGGGCGCCTACTCGTGCAGCTGACAAAACCCCCAAAACATATGCTGCATCTGAGTAGCCTATACGCAGCCAACAATATCCCAGAAATCATGGGGTCGTCAGTAAACTAAACAGAAAAACAAAGATGGCTGAGGTTATGTTTTTTTTAACCGCGAGTTTAGGTTTTTTTTATGCGGAGTTTGGAAATTTATCACAGACTAAAGAATTTGCTTTAAAATGTAAGTTTAGCAACTTAGCTGATGAAGTTAATGCAGCAGTGAGATGTAATATCAAATGCAATTATAAGCACTACTTCAATACTGAAGTTAAACCCAAATTCTTAATGTTTTTTTTTAGTTATGTGTAACGTTTTAATAATACTGAATTTTGTGAAGGTATACCATGAAAAGACAACTGAAGATTTGTGATATAAAGTGTATCACCGTTGGGAACTGGGCAGTATGTGGTCACACAAACACATGTCATTCGTAGACTAGACCATCTCATATCACAGCATAATACCCACTGGCTCTTCATTTATAAAACCCTACTAGGTCTTTTACCTCCTTATTTAAATAAATTACTACAACATGAAGCCCCCTCAAGATACAATACCCATTCCTCCCAACTTATTAGATTGAAAATTCCTAAAACCAAGTCTTTTGCCCTTATGTTTTTTTTTGTTTTGCTGCTGCAAAAGATTGAAACTTTTATCAAAATACACTGCATTTTGACACTTTCATTTCTGTTCCTGCTTTTAAACACAGACTAAAAGACCTTTTAAGGAGTCATGTAACTGTTTTAAAGAATAAATTCATTGCTCATTGTATATTATATGTTGCATGTACTATATGTTATTGCTGTTTTCCCCATCTTACACTTTCTAAGTGTTTTAGCACTTTCAGGCTAACATTGTAAATAAGAAATTGGTGTTAATGTTTTGCCTGGTGAAATAAAGGTTTAAATAAATAAAGATACAGTACTTTTGAAAATAGTATTGGGAAACGAAATATCACGATTTTTCAGTGTTTCAATGATAAAAAAAAACATTTAGTAGGTCTTCTGTAGCCTGGTAAAACTAGACCCTTGTCCTTCACTTTGCTTCATACGAGGGTCTGGACTCTCGGATATAGAGAAGAGATTCTTGCTGGAGGCGTGGCCTCTGCCGAAGTTTAAAATGATTGTATCGGTTGGCCGCAAGTGCCAGMTCCACTGTGAAGGAGGCTAAGCTAAGAAGCTAACCGGAAATCATGTGCATTGTAAACAATCCTACTGAGTGGAGAAAAGTACCGAGCCGAACGAGACGGCTGTAAATGAGAGCTGCTGCTTCGTCAGACAAATTTAATTTAATTTGGAAGCCTTATCAACACGGACTGGCTTCATTCTCTTCCTCCACTGCCATATGCTAAACTAACTAAAAGACATTGTGTAGAAAATCAACACTCTCTGATTGGCCCGGATGAAATGCTCCATAAGAAATCCTTGTCTATGGGAGAAATCCCAGATGGAGCAGTGAAGAGAAACTAGAATTGAGCTGAACTGCGTAGGAAGGCAAGGGCCAGGCTAGGTCTTCTGGATGGTTTCTTCTTTAATGAAACGTTGTTTTTTCTCTTTCAAAAGACATATGAGCAGTGCCTCCACATGGTAGACAAGACTGAAGAAGCTTGTGGAGGAGAGACAAAACATTTCATTAAAGAAGAAAACGTCCAGAAGACCTTCTAAACTTTTTTTTCTACCTGGATTACTGAGATGCATGCAGTGTATCAATATTATCTTATACCCCTACAGCATTCACGTGCTAAGTATGTAAGCAATCCATCCAATGAGTTTTGGATTGCTCTCAAAGTCTCCTCCTCCTCCATCCTTACTAGGATGCCCCTAAAACCTCCAAATGGGTGCAACCAGAAGGCTCCCTGATCAGAGGTCAGAACCACTTCAAAAAATTCCTTTCATTGTTTAGAAACAGTACCTGTACTCCAAGTTCCTTTCTGATAATCAAGCTTCTCACATTTACCTCTAAAGGTTGAGACCATATACCCTTGGATTAAAATTAGTTTCATCTGCTTGCATATGGGATCTTATTCTTTAGGTCATGTTCTAAATCTCATAACCATAGAAGAGAGTTGGAACATTAGTAGACCAGTGACTCTAGAACTTCACCTCAAATTGCATACTTCTTTACCACAGCAGGCCAGAACGAAGCATTACTGCAGTTCAACTCACTTTACTGTTGCTTGTGAAGAGACATAGAGAAAATTAAAATATCTCACACCCAACCCAGAGGGAGTGATTTAACTTTTTTCCCCAGGGACTGGTGTGAGGAGATTGCCGTTGTTTCAGCCTTGGATACTGGGGCATGACTGGACTCAGCTCAAAAAAGTCACAAGTCACCCCCTCCATATGGGACCACCACGTGCTGGGAGAGAAGCTATGACATGGTGCAATGTGTTCTGGGCCGGGACCTGGATGCACTGATTTCTGGCATCTCAAATTGGTTCTGGATGTGGAATGTCAATTTGTTGACCAGAATGGAACCAAAGCTGGTGTTTGAAGTTGAGCAATGTAAACTAGATCCATTTGGGCTCACCTCCATCTAAAGCTTTGAAACCAAACTCTTTGAGAGGGGTCTGGCTCTTTCCTTCTGTAAAGTAGCTCAGGTAGAAGAGACGTTTTTGGTTCTGTGGACAATCACAAATCCCTGGCCGAAAGCCTTGGTGTTTGGATGTTTGGTGTTTGCTGTATGGGGGTCTTCAGTGCCAGTGTGGACAATGACAGACATATTTGCTAGTCATGGGCTGTCTATTCCAAATGCCRTGTTTAAGCTTGAGGTGGTCCATAAGATGGCTATACCAGGCCACCCTGTGCCAAACGTTGATGATTGATATTGTTTCTCACACTCGCACATCCTAAGGGAGAGTTTGAACATAGAGTCCAAATGGACCATATTCAGAAGCTGCATTGTAGATTCAGCTTCTAGTATCTCTTACCAGAAGTTCATTGAGGCCTGCTGTGTGTTAGTACACCGGCAATGAAGGAAGCTGTCAACCTGAAAAGAGGAGACTTTTAGAGCTTGGCTGACCCAGGGAGGATCACCTGATTTAGCTGACATTTACCAAGACCTGTATCTTCCTCCAATAACATACAACTTAAATAATAGAGACAGTATAACCCAATTTAATGGAAAATTATAAACACCTTAAATTTAGCATTTTTATTCATACACAGCTTTAGTTTTTGAGTATTAATTTTTCAGTGATTTTCATTTTTTTCCCTTTCTGACATAAAGATGGGAAATCTTTTAATTTATTTTTTTTCTCTGTTGATGAATGTTAAAACTCTAAGTTTTGCACACCACCATTTATTTTGATCATTGTGTCTTGTTGGTTTATTGCATCCATTCATARTATTTTCTACAAGTTGCCTGTATTGCTTTGAATTTGATGATATTTGGAAATTGTTATTACTCGTTATTTAAACACTGTTATTTCACAGTCTAAACTGGGATTAAAGCTAAACCAATCTCTACATTAGATGATGGGTATTATGTATCCATCTCATCTAGCCACGATGTCCCAGCCAGGATGTGCTGTAAACTACAGGGGAAAAAAAAAAAAACAGGCCTCTGTGCCTCCGTTGCTCAGTGATCTCAGTTGCGGCCTGTAGGGACACTCACCGGCTGGGAGGTAAAAACTGCAGTACAAGGCTGAGTAGGCCTTAAAGCACTCTTAGCAAACAAATGCAGTTAATTTTGGGAGAACTTATCTTACTGCTGTAATACGCCCTCATACCTGGTGTTGGTTATCAGAATGTTTCAGTGCAGAAGGTCTTGCTAGGCTCGTCTCTGTCGCAGTGGATGTCTCTCTGGTGTTTGTGTAGGCGAAGGAAAAGGAGAGCAACAACTCGGCTCTCGTTCTTCCTTTAGCCTGTATACCAGGCCTTTTACATCTTCCCTCGTCGCTACTCTCTGTGGTCTACGGTTCTCTGGCTGAGGTTCCCGGCTCCTGCTGTCCAAAGTTACCTTCTGGAGGCAGCTGCCACCACTGCGTCACTCCTGCTACATCACTGACCTACAATGAGTTGCCGAAAAGGAGGGGTGGTGTGGTGAATGTGTGGAATAAAAGGATAAGCAGAAAAACAAGCTGGGCTCTCTGTACGCCGCTCTAGCAAACAAGTGGATAAGGCTTTCGCTCCCTCTCAGGATGAGGCCTAGTTGCAGCTTTGGTATTCAGGAAGTGAGTCTGGGAGACAGATCCTTTATTGTTACGTAATGAACCCCCCCCCTCCCCCTTCAGCTGAGAAGGCAGTGTGAGAGTCTAATAATAGGTCATACGAGTCTGTATGCAGTCATATCACTCCAACAACCAGCTGAGCAGAAGAACAGCTTTTATTTAAAGGATCTTTTATTATTATTTTATTACCCAACATGGAATGTTCTTGTTCTTAGCACCAAGCAGAACTTTCTCAATCTTATACGCAAAGAAACTACAAAACAAGGCTTCGGTAAAGCTGTTTTGTAATCCTGTTTTTTTTTCCTGCTACACATTGATTGCTGTAAACAAAAAAGTAAAATGCATACCTTTTGCTTTACGCTACAGTAGCTTGCCTCTACGAGTTTCAGGCCTGTCAGTGGAAACACATCCCACATGTGCTCAAAGTTTCAGTCCAGAATAACTATGTGGTAGTATTTAGTGACTGAAAATGGTATCCAGAAGTACAGCACTTGTTTTGCACACGCCACCCAAGGCTTTATTTACTTGAGCCTTCTCCTCCCATCATGCCTTTTATCATTGCCGTGTTGCTCCCTCTGCTGGCTGCTTGATTGAGTGTGTTATAGAAACCAGAAGGCTACAGGCGGGGGTTGATGGCGGACTGCCTTCAGTAGAGGGCGCAACAACAGTTTAGTGGCAAATGTAAAATGTAAACAGGAAGTACGAAAGCTGACATCCACAAATGTGATTGGTTGTCAGCATAACTCCAGTGTTTTTTTCCACATTGTTTAGCCATTTTATTAAAAAACTGATCAGACACTAAATGCTGTATTATATATAGTACTGTGCAAAAGTCATGTGTCATCCTTTGTATTATTTTCCTGAGCTGCTATACTTATAAGGTCTTTATTGATAGCTCTTGAGAATTTTAGACAATCTGTTATTTTATTTTAACAGTGGCTGCTTTTTAGCTTTTTTTTTAGTCTAGCACTTAATAATTTGTAATGGACTCTTTTGTTTTGGTTTTAACACAGTTAATCTGATATCTGAATCATTCTGACATAAAACAGCTCCCAAATTGAAATTATAAACTAATGTTGTGTCCACACATTAAACGACTTTCAAAAGAACATTTTAAAATGGGATCTTTAACAATAAGAATAATAACTTTTTGTTTTATTGTGGAAACACTCACATTACAGCAGTGGATTGTAACAGAAAGAGGAGCAAGAAAAAGTCAGAAACTGTAAACTGAAGTGTGAAATAATCACAATAAATTCAATAAATAAAAAAGTCTAAGATGTTTCACATCTAATGGAAACAGAGATGCTTCACGTAGTTCAGGGATGATCAAAAATATTTCCATCTTTTAACATTCATCCATTACCTTTACCCGCTACTTCCTTTCAGAGTCATATCCAGTTGTGTGAGGGGTACACCCGGGACAGGTTGCAAGTCCATCACAGGGCCACATAGAAACAAACAATTCACTCTCTCACTCACATATAGGGCCAATTTGGAGTTACCACTTATCCTAACAGTCATGTTTGTGGTCTGTGAGAGGAAACAAGTGTGCCTAGACGTGATCCAGGACTGAGCTGGTTCTCCTTGTTCAGTTTCTTTTGGTGCCTCTCTGTGCATCACTCCCCCAGCAGACCACAGACGCCACCACACTGTCAGTCCTGCTCACTCCAAAGGATCTCAGTCTCCTCAGCAAATAGAAGCAACTTTCGTCCTTCCTGCGCACAGCATTTTGTGTGTTGTTGAGATGAACACACAGGTATTTGTATTCCATCGCTGTTTCAGCGTTTAAACCCTGGACATCTGTGACATTGGCTGAGTGACCTTCCCTTTGCTATCGATCATTAGGCACTTTCTTACCAGCAGCTTGCTACAAAGACAATTTAGTTTCATTACTTTGGCTGAATTTATAAGAAAATGACAAAAACTATATAATTCACTTAGCACCAACAAGGTAATTTTCAAAGAGCAACTGGCAGAAAACTTGGCATAGTCAATGAACTCAAGGACACACATATTTCTGGACCTTTCTGTGAGACTCAAATTTGCAATTTTTTGTTTCTATTCCTTAAATAATGGACTTATAAATACTGTTTTTGTGTGTTTGTTTTTTGCTGTAGATAGTTTGTAGGTCTGACACTTTATCTTTTGTCACACATGTCCTAATTTTTCAGCTTTAGCGAGGTACAAGGAGTAGACAGGAAAATGAATGAAAAAGCAGCTGAAGTGTAAATAAAATCTGTGTTTACGGACCTTCTTAAAGTCTGGAGAACTACTGATCACGACCACTTTGAAGGATTCCAAGAAAGTACAGCTTTTTTGGAGCAAAATAGAAAGACACTAATGTTAGTTTAAAACTGTGCTTTCCAAACATTTTATTTTTTGACTCACAGAATAAAAGCTGCTCTTGTGACCCTGACTATTACTGACTGAAGTATGCAAACACAAAATGTACTCCTCCAAAACCATGGCGTTGACTATACCTTCCAAAATTCAGCACAGCGGTTCTTCACAGTGTGCTCTCAAAACACCTCAGAGCCGCAGGGCTGATACAGTCCAGTCAGAACACCAGATAAGATCATCAGTAAATTCACATGAATAAACAAACATGAAACTGGAAAAGAAAACATAATGAGAAAAATTGCAGAAACTCATCTTTTACATTTTTTTTTCTGTTAAAAAGAAAGCCATGAAAACAAAGCCAACATTATCTGTAGAGAACAAATATTAAAGCACAACCTGTCTCAAATAAACAGTTTGACCATTCACATCTGCATGAATATTTATCCTGACATGCCCGTGTTGATATACTGGATTCATTCTTTAGAACTTATTGTGTTGTGTAAAACTTATTCAGGCACTCTTTAACGCTTGCTGTAAAAAGGTGTTTGTGCTCGATCTTGTGTTCATTTCTCTGTTGTGTTAGCAAATTTTCTCTCACTGGAGTGGATTTAAACATAACTCACAGAAAGTAACACAAGATAAGACAAGATAAGATAAGATAGACCTTTATTGTCTTTGTACAGATTACAATGAAATTACAGTTCAGAACACCCATTCACAAGAAGACAGAACATAATCCCTGAATATAAAGCTACAACTTACTGCAAGGCAATCTTAGGCCATACAGAAGAGGTCATAAGTGAACCAGTTTTACAAMTACTGAGATATTCTTGGTGTAGTAGCTGAGAGTTATCCCCACCACAGGATGAGTAACAGATTTCTCGAGGTGTCCCATTATTGCATTGGATTGAACATATCAAGTACAAGGCTGGACAAATAAAACTCTGAAAGGCAGCCGGCAACAAGGATTAATTCAAAGAGTGCCACAGCTTTCCTTTCTTGCTTTTTTTTTGTCATCAACTAGTTCAGTTTCTTCAGCTCRTAAGCAAAATAATTACTTTAAATCTGTGCTATGTATGGATTGGATTTTAAATGAGTAAAACAGCAGCCACCATCCAAGGAAAACCTTTGAACAGACTCTAGAAAGAAAAGCTATTCAAAATATCATTGAAACTTGCATGGGTGCAATTCCTGTAATTTCTTAGGTGAATAGGTGCACTTGAATAAATATTCAATATTCAACCTCGTGTTTATTAATCACAAGTTGGAGAACTAATCTTTTGTGGGTGCCAGACCCTGACCACTGACATGCACCCAGAGCAAGGACGCCATTTTGGACGCAGAACTGTAACCATGACAACTAAAAAGCAACTCATCAGCAGTAAAAATAAAAACTGGCCAAAAAGCCTCATCTTTAATTTCAGATAAGACCAAGTAGGAAAAAAATGGAAGCACAAGTCATCATCTTGATGCAAAGAAAAAAAACTACTTTATGTTTGCGTATTTAGGGGGAAGGGTGGCGGGTCACGACCCAGCGGATTGATATCTAATATTTAGTGACAAGCTAATGTAATCCGTCTTGCACTGTCCCTATCTGATCATATGCAAGCAAAACAACATTTCGTACGAACAGGAAAGCACATCTATTGCGCAAAGCAGCTTCCTCGACTTAAAACAAGTCTAAAATGGAGAAGTAAATAGTTCCTGAGCGGAAGAATAACGCGGATGTATATTGCAGTTGTAGGCCACTCAGCTGATGTGAAGCTAACAGGGACAGGAGAGAGAAAAGAGGAGCTGGTGCACAGTCTRTTACAACTACAACACTGGAACAAATAGGTAACAACATTATACCAAACGTTCATTTTTTTCCACTGACATCTCAAGCAACATTCTTCAGAACTTTTAAAACTATTTAGTGTCGATTTGAATCATTAGAATTTATGAATCGGCGTTGTAAAAAATCCCGATCCCCGTTGTTGCTTTCCTGTTTTTGTGTCAAAAAAATGTATCAGAGGCCATTTCTTTTTTCCCATTTAGCGTGGACGTGCTAGCTGCTAGTTAGATGACTTGATGGTATTGATAGTTTGACTTAATAATTGTAACAAAAATGTATATATAAATATATATATAATATGTATTATGTCATAGCGAAGCTCCTATTTGTGAATCTCATTACCACCCTGACGAGCTGGCAAAGCGCAAGCCAGTGACAACAAATTGATTAGCCCACCAAGGTTAGCTGCTCTTGTTTGACTTGACGTCGTTAAATCTACGTGACTGCCCTGCGGTAGCGATTCTGTTTTGACAAGGTTAGTAGTTTTTTTTATTTGATAACATACAAACACTCGCATAAATGTGTATCAAATATTATTTGGTCAGGTTTTTTTTGCCTGCGAGCGAACCGTCATTGAAGAGGCATTCGTTRTTATTCTCGGCTAAGCTAGCATTAGCCTACTAATTATTAACTGGCCTCGATGTTTGCTAGTTGAATAAGATGGGTGATTTTTATTTAGTTAAGTCTACACAAGAACTGTTAGTTTTGTTGACTCATTGTTTATTTGTTAACTCGCTACTTTTAGGCTAGCGTTAGCTAAACMCCCAGACAGTAAACTGGTGCAGTGATAGAGCCTGAGGCCTTGTTGGGTCCTCATATTTTGCTAACGTTGTTCTGTACACATTGGTTGACGTTGTTAAAAAAAAAAAGCGTAACTGCATTATGGGCTTGACAGTCGCGTATTATTGGATTTGTATTCCCAACTAAACATCATGGACGGTGACGTTTTGTGCCGAACACATAGTTTTGTTTTCTTAAAACTTATCAGCCATACTTGTGTGTGATAATAGCCTGAATACCAACTGAGCTCGCAGTGGTTTTATATGTAGCTTGATAGCTTTATTGCCTCAAATCGCTTTCGAAAGACCGTACAGCCGATGCTACCATTTTCGATGCTTAGCTAATCTCCAGTAAACGCTGTTTCCCCTGTAAGGACGCAGTCTTTACAATGAAGCGAGCATATACTCATATTTGAACTCGGAAAACAAGGTAGTTGTTTTTTTTTAAGTACAGAAAAGTAGTGATTAGATAAGTGTACCAATACACACCGGTATCAGAACTACGCAGTTCAATACGACCAATGCTAAAATTAGCCGACGTAAGTTTGCTTATTCTCTGGATTTTCCGTCATAATATCTTCGAAGTTGCTATATTCTCTTTTTTTCCGGGATATTAGTTGGATCTTTTTAGGGTTGTTGTCATAACGAATGGGACTGTGTTAGATATGAGTGGCTGAGCATGCTAACGATAGTCGGTGATGGTAGACAACTACGTCAGAATGCAGGCCTCTGGAGATCCTAGGTGCAAAACTAAGACCCTGTCCCTGTTTGTTGACTTGTAAGAGTGACCTAGACGGGTTAGCGTTTAAAGCTGTCGATCGCCGGATGTCTTTGTTCAATCAGATGATATGAAGTGGTCAACTAGTTGTCAGAATGGGTCGAATAACAAAGACCAGGATGCAGTGTCAGTGCAGGCCTAACGTGGCCCTGTAAAACTGTGAAATGTGGCGTATTTATGTGATCAATGTCCATATCACCGTTGAAATATGACTTAAGGCTATTTATTTTCTAAGGATAAATATAATGTTAGGTTGTGATTCTATTACCTTTGTGTTTATGTAAAAAAATCTAATTATTCCACAAGATGTGTTTAAATGATCAGTTTATTTCCTGATGCCCTTGAGAGTAACAAACAATTTGAAGTATCTTACATGTAAATTACATTTTCTTTAACATTTTTCCTCATCTTATTCAGCAGATAATTGACAACAATCTGTATTGGTCAGTATTTTTACCTTAACTGGTTATAGAATTTCATTACAAGATTACCAACTACCTGTAAGGAATATTTTATCATTCTAACACTGTTTCTTGGGGTTTTATTGAATCGTATTTATTCTTTATATTTATTTTTTTATTTGCCCACAACCTTGATTTTTGGGCATCTTAACGTTACGTGTCATTTTTCTCTGATCAAAAGATTTGTATGGCTGCACAGAACCCGACTCGCATAAATAAGCAAGCACACATTGCACCTGTTTTAGTTTCCCTTCTATGACTACCAGTTTATTTTATAATCTGCTTTAAATTTTAACATTTGGAGCTTTAAATGGTCAAGCTCCTTACGTCTCTGACCTAATTCAGGTCTACACACTGTCTTGCAGGTTAAGGTCATCAGGTCAGATGTTGTTGATATTACTCCACACGCATTTGAAATCTAGAGGGGGTATCAGTCATCACAAGCAGTTGCACCCCAACTTTGAAATGCACTGCACCTATTTTTGCACAGTTTAAATTCAATTGATGCATTTAAAAAACACATCTAAAGATATTTTATAAGCAGGTTTTTAGTTAAATACAGGTCTTCTATATTTCATTTTACAGATATATTTGATGTTTATGTATATTTTGGTATAATTTTCTAGAAATGCAGACCAGGTTTGTTCTTTTTTGAAGCACTTTGATAATTACTGTACAGTGATTTTAATTCATGAAATGTGCTACATAAATAAGTCCATCTTGTTTCAAGGTGAAACATTACAAAACTGAATATAATTATGTGAAGCAAGATGTATGTTTTCATTAAGAAATGAAAACATCTGTGTTGAACTTTAACATAATTGCTCAATTATTTCATTACAATAATATTTAACAACTTATTTCTTTAACAATCTCTGATTGGATAAAATGTTTTTAACCAAAGTGTCAGTGCTAAAAACAAGCATGTATCATTGCATCTTACTACATAAATTACAGGATATTCAGTTGATTCAGAAAATTCTTTAATCATAGCAATCTAGATAACTTTTTGTTAGTGAAAATAAGTCTTCTGCCACATGTTTTGATTGTATTAACTTTAGGTTTTGTGGTTACTGTCATGAGGTTTCTCTTTAATTCAAAGAAGTCCCTCCCTTAATAATAGCTGTTCTGATTAAAGATTGTATGCATCTTGATGATCAAAAACATTTTTTTCTTTCGTTTGTGCGAAGTTTGACATTATTTTTGGTCAATGTTGTTTTTTTTTTGTTTTTTTTTCAGTGAATGGTAGTGTCTAGAAAGGGTATGTCCCTTCAGGAGAGAGGTGCCAATGTCCAACCGGCCTAATTCCAATCCAGGGGGGTCACTGCGCCGTTCACAGAGGAACACTGCTGCGGCCCAGCCACAAGACCACACGGCAGCTGGAAGGTAAGTTCACCTGCATTACTGTGTACTTGTGGGGGGGAATTGCATAGAAACAMTTTTGTTTTCTTAAAAGCTGCAACTAATAATGTTTAAATTGTGTTTTTACTTGTGTGGCCACTATAGGAAATTTTGAGATGTTGAATAATWTTAACGGTGTCCTCTACTTTTTTTAAATAAAGTGGACTCTGTTCCCATTTAGATGTTAACTCTGTTTTAGTAGTGTAATCTATATGGTGTTAATGATTAAAAAAGAAAATTGAATACCCAGTAGCCAGATTATTTGGGAAGTAAATAAGTCTAGCCTTTGTGACTTAATTACAGAAACCCACACTGTTCCTTGCTCTTTAATGTCCAACCTTACAGGTTACAGTCAGAGCAGGTAAAACATAAAGCAAATTCCCCACCTGAAAGTAGAAGATCTAATTCTAAGGCTCCCAAAGCCACAGCCATCTCAGCCACTGGCCAGTCCAGAGGGCACAGCTCAAGAAGGTACCCGTGTTTTCTTCTTGGTGCAAAGTRTGTTTAGGGTTGAACTGCTTTTATTACTGTCATGTATCTTGTTCAACTTTTTTGTTTTTTCCACATTTAGATAAATACATAGCATTATCTGAATTTTTCTGGTATAACAAATTTCCTAAAATCAAATTTCTTGGTTTCTTTTGCTTCCTAACAGAAGTGGTCTTACTCTRTCCGTCGCTTCGTTTGTGCTGCAAGACGATCAAGAGGCTGCAGGAACATCTGAGCAGGAGCGACCAGGCCACCAATCAAAGAGTGAGGGCACCCGAGGGCTTAAACGAGGYGAAGCACCTGACGAAATTAGTGTCTTTGGACCGACCTCTGCCAAGAAACCCAAATCATCCCTTCCCACACCCAGAAATAACCCCTCAGAGGCCAAGAAAGGCCCTGCCAAGACCAAGAAAAGACCAGCTGCATCAGAATCATCTACATCAACAGGTAGAAGTCAGAGCAAAAAAAGTGTGGCCGTTGGGGCCTCTCCACTCCAGAAACGGAAGAAATCGGACTCTCTCCCCGGTCTAAGTAGCACCGCTGGGCCCCTCCCCAATTGTACCGAGGGCAGAACTGCAAAAGCCACCAAGCTGGCGTCTAAATCGGCCGCCTCAGCCAAAGCTGGGTGTAGCAACGTGACAGACTCCTCCTCCTCCGCCTCCTCCTCTTCTTCCTCCACCACAGGCTCCAACAGCGCTGCCACACAGGGCGCTCGCGTCAAACAGGGAAAAGATCAGACCAAGGCACGCCGCTCTAGATCCGCTTCTAGCCCCTCTCCACGCCGAAGTACACGAGACAACGAGCAGGCCAAAACTGCCAGCTCTTCAAAATTTGAGTGGGCAACACGCTTCAACACCAAAGTTAATTTGCCAAAACCGAAACTTTCCTTACCTGGATCCTCCAAAACCGAGACCTCTAAACCTGGGCCGTCTGGACTACAAGCTAAACTTGCAAGTAAGTGTTTTTCTTTTATGCTAAATGAATGCATTTGTATCAGAAAAAGTCTAAATTTCATTTAAAATAAAAACAACACTATTTCCTCAGAAGCACTCGTTTCTCTGGAATAATGTTGCAAGATTTGTTTCATAGTGCACAGCTTCAGACATCACTAAAAACTCCTGGAATGAAGTGTTTAAATCAGCTTCAGGCTTTCAGGGAAACCAGCCAAATAAACTCAATTTAAGATTTGTTTCAAGTATAAACGGACAGTGACAACACAAGATGATCATATGTAAAATTTAAGGTTGCACAATATCAGAAAATGCAGTTGAAATGTCTTTGTGCATTTAAAGCCGTGAGAGTCCATCAGATGCCAAATTTGTATTTTAGCATGCAGCTTAATAAAGCTTTTCACCTGTAGTAATTACAAGTCTTACTAAATTACAAAATGAATTTAAGATATCTGCAATATGCATCAATGATCTAGCTTAGCTAACCCAGACAGGCAGACAAGGGAAATTGTTTTAGTATTAGAATATAAAGCTGGCAAAAAAGCATAGTTCTGTGTGTAAATTAATAGACTTATCAATGCACTTCATCATACTTAAAGGTTGATTAAGTGTGAAAATTTAGATTGTTTTCCTCATTGAGCTGCAGTTTCAGCTGTTTGACTTGATTTGCAYCAAATAAAAACAAAACTGATTCCCTCCACAGAGTGGGCTTGTTATAAAGTTCAAGTTATTTTCTGTTGTTCGTTTCCTAAACTTTTTATTAGTCCACTGAACTTAGTTATTTTATTTTTTTATCATTTTAGAAAATGATTGATATGGACAAGCGTTGTTGAAGGTCTAGTACACCCTGCTGTCATCCACTTAGTAAATTCCACGAGACTTTGTGCCGGAGTGATGATTTAATGATGTTTTTAGTTTTCCCATATTTTCACGTTACACTTACAGTAATGGATATAACGTAGCATTTTCTTAATTTAATTTTACTTGTATTTAAATCCCAGCCATATAAAATGATGTGAATCAAAAAGGAAAAAATAAGTAGGTCCTCTGGATGGGTTCTTCTTTAGTGAAACGTTTCGTCTCTCCTCCAAGAGACTTCTTCAGTCTGATGAGTTTCAGGTGAACTCAGCCTTATAATCACTGCCTCCATCTGGACAAACAGGTTAGTTACATGCAAAAGAGGGTCATCGCCTAACAATAGGCTTGATCAATCAGCTAATCAAGCCTGATTGGCAGTGTGATACAGATCTAAAACTTAGGGGAAAAAAGTCCAAGTTTACAGAGTATTATTATTAGTATTATTTTTAATAGTAGTAAAACAACAGAAGCGTTTCAAAACATTCCTCTGGAAACTAAGTTCACAAATTATTCTTTCATTCTTAAGGGGTCATGGGGTATTGACTTTAAACTACTATACAGATAAAACCCATAAATGAAGTGAACCAGAATTGTGGAACTGAAGCCCAGAGTTCTTAATTTATAGTTTTTTAAGGGAAAGACRGTGAGTTTTGAATATTTGAATAGTCATACATAGTATACAAATTTGATCATTTATTGTGACCTTCATTTTGATAACTGGCTGCTTCAAGCACATGGCAAAAACACACTGTGAGCTCTACCACAAGGTGGGAGTAATGTACAAAATTGTTTCCCAGTTACCAAAGTGATTTCTAGTCAGAGGTGTGTTAAGCACACCTGCCCCAAAGTTAAATTTGTCTAGCGTTTGTTTCTGTCATCATAGTTTAATTTGAAGAAGGATTTTAAAACATAAATTACAATCACAGATGCGGAACACCATTCTTGCCATAAAGTGTTCATACTCATCCACTTAGATCTATTAAACTGACAAACATGCTTATTAAAACCACACTCTCATAATTCTTTAAATTTGTACATGTTTATAAAGTTCTAAAATTAAAATCACTGCCTGTTCCTAATTTGTTTACATTGGTTGATATTTAAATTGCCACAGCCATCATGAACAGCATGGTGATTATGGGATTGCCTGTGTATATACAGTACATGTTTGTCAATAAACCAGTTGTCTGATTTTAATGAAACTCAAATGTTGATGTAAATCTTCAACTGATTAAATTTTGGAGTCAATTCAATCTTAAGATATCAGTCACAGCTAATCAACCTAATCAAGCGCAGAAATGGCTGTAACTCTATCTAGTGAGCATTTACTGAAAAAAATATTTGGTATGATAGAAGCTGAGAATCCTCCATTAAGTTTGAAGAGACTGCATCGGACCTTTTGTCATGCAAGGCAGTTGGTGGTATTCATTCCTTTCAGGATTGCTGGTTTTATTTAAATCGTAATCAAATGACATGCAATCTGTTTGATTTGAATTGTGCTTTTGAGTCAAATCTCCACCTCTGGTTTCTTTGATATTGTCAATAGGAGTGATTTAATTTTAATCATCAAGTTTGKTAGGCTATTGCAGTGTATTCTCTGGATTTACTGTGGGAATTTGTATAGAAATGTTTGTTTTTTTTCCATCGGCATTGTTAGCTGAACCAAAAGAATTCCAAATTACTGCATGCATTTGACATTTATATTAGAGGCCTGTATTGCAATGAGGAACACACCCATATTTCTATTGCCATTTAGTACTAGTAGACAAATCAGTTGGATCAAAGAAAAAGGGTTGGGAGAGCATTTGCATGTCTTTAGAATGTTTAGTTTCATATCTATGAAAGTTGTGAAAAGAAAACCTCACTACACTTGTAGCCATTTGATGAAAAGAAATAGCAACACCCAGTGACATTCTCTATGTGCAYGTGCACGATTTTGTTTCAACATTTCAACCAGTAGGCTACATGGAAAAAATGTTCTGAACTGCTAATTTGTGATAAGTAGTAAAATACACAGAAGATTCTCAGGTTAGTGGAGAGTCTGGCTGTTCGGTGTGAGTGAAAGGATAGTAGCTCAAGTGGGCTCTGTGTCATGGACTCTGGCCCAAATGAAGAGACCCCTCCTAAGCTGGCTTTCACGTGTTGCTGCCCCGACAGCCCCCCAGCTGACCAGAGGTTTGTTTAAACTTTAAGGGTAGGAAAGGACTCATAGACCGCTTCTCTTTGAACAAAAGCACTTTACCATTCTTGGAATATCTTCATCACAGAGCCCTTGTCGTTTAGTTCCTRTCACTTTAATCTTTTTTTGGTGAGTAAACTGTTACACAGTGGTTTTATTGAACAATTATTACAAGCATAAATGTCTTGTGAAACATTTAATGATACTGCTGACAACACAGTATAAATATATATATATATATTTTTACAAGGATACTTAGTTTATAGACMTTAGAAAAAAAATCTTAAATGTGTTATGTTTTAAAGTATAAAAATCTGCAGAAAATAAGATGGATAAAAAGCCAAAGACACTAAAATTACTCTTTAATGATTATTTTTTGTTGTATTTAAGTTTTTTTAGTATTTATTTTTGTACTACTGAATTATGAGTCACTGATCTAACATGAAGGTTGTCCTGTCACAGAGCTGTGGTCGTGTTGCTATTTTTAACCCATCTGGCTGGTGGTACAAACCTCTGAGAGGGCAGAGCCAGTCTTTACTGCATTAAAAAGTAGTATTAATTAATCCTCAGCATCAGTCACTTTTGGGATAACTTTATTGATCAAGAGATTTTTGCATCTACAAACTAAAAAATGTCCCAAAAATGTCATTCATTTAAAATATTCAATAAAACTTAAGAATGGATATTTCATAGTTGTGATTGCCAATAAATGTCTCATTGTCTTCCTTGTGTTTTTAGGTTTGAGGAAACCCAATAAGAAGCCTAGTGAGTCTCCTCCAGCAGAGCTCCCCAGTTGTCGGCGGAGCACACGTCAGAAGACCACGGGCTCTTGTGCCAGCACAAGGTACAAATTACAGTAACAAATAAAGTTGTCCAAGAAGATCTGATGTTCCAGAACAATTTTTGTCATTTTTGAGAATAACATCAACACAAATGTTACAGTCGGCGGGGCTCAGGCCTGGGCAAGCGCGGGGCAGCTGACGCTCGCCGACAGGAGAAAATGGCTGACTCCGACAACAACCAGGATGGGGCCAACTCATCTACTGCTCGCACTGATGAGGCATCACAAGGAGCTTCAGGTAAATATACCACACTATGTTATCACAATTCAACCCACAGCTCAAGATGGATTAAAATGCATGATGTAAATTAAAACACAGTGTATCARTGTATATTCAACAAGGAGAGATCAAGTTTTATTTTTTTTAACATAATTCAACTTTTTATAAACAAATTCCTTTTTGTTTATCAAAGGCTAACAACATTTTAGAGTTTTTGTTATTTTCTCCTATAACGTATTTTACATTYTGTCATTTTTTTTGTCCAGCTTCAAGCTCAGTTGCTGGAGCAGTCGGCATGACCACCTCTGGAGAGAGTGAGTCTGATGATTCTGAAATGGGAAGGCTTCAGGGTGTGTTTTTAATCTAATGATTAGTGAATTTAGTATTTCAGACTGTTGAGCACATTTGCACCCTAAAGCTTGTCATTTCTACTCCCTCTAGCTTTACTGGAGGCCAGAGGTCTCCCTCCACATCTTTTTGGACCCCTAGGACCCCGAATGTCACAACTGTTTCACAGGACCATCGGCAGTGGAGCTAGTGAGTACAATCTTACCAAAGGTTTAACATTATTGGTTCTCATTAGTAGCATTTGTTTTGATGCCTCACTGTGGGATATGCCTAGACATATTTCTCTGAAGCACTGTCTCATTGCACCGATCCCTGCATCACCAACCCTTTAAGTAGCTTGTGCTACGACGCTGCATCCTTCGTAAACCTCTTCTAAGCAAGCTAGCTTAACTGTTCGTAGACCAAAGGGGGGGAGGGTATATATATATATACACTGCTCAAAAAAATAAAGGGAACACTTAAACAATGCACGCTAACTCCTGATCTTAATCAATGAAATATTCGCATTGAGTACTTTGTTCTGTACAGAGTTGAATGTGCTTCACAAAAGTTTGATTTACTTGGACTTGGCGTGCGTTGTTTAAGTGTTCCCTTTATTTTTTTGA